GTTTGTTTGTTTGTTTAAAGGAAGCGGACAGGCTAACCTGTTCCTTGTTGAGGGTGTCTTGGTGGGAAAGTCTGAATGTGTTTTTATTTTGTCAGTGTGTGCAGACTTTGGAGGAACTGTGCCCGCAGGGTGCTCCGGACTCAGCAGCAGCTGACCTGGGTGTCGAGCTGTGGACCCTCGGCCACAGAGGTTCATTCTCTCTGCAGCATCCTGGCTGAAGAAGTGGAGGTAAAGTTCTATCAAACCACCTCCAGTGAGCTTTGTTTTGGAGGGAAACAAGAACGCCAGGTGGATGAACACACCGGTTTATGTGAATAAAACTGAGTTTATGATGTTTAAAATATTATGAGACTTTCTGGTGGGTAACAAAAGCCCAATATTCACTTTATAAAGAAAAGGGTCACTCACTATCCTGCATGTTTTATATGTTGGAGCAGAGCAGTGATTAGTGACCCTTGAGGAGCGGGATTGGACACCCCTGGCCCAGACAAAAATTAATGTCAATACCGACAAACATCTGTTAATATTTTGCTTCATTTTTAATTAGTTTTATATATTAGCCTTTTGTGTAGGTGGATTTAAAAGTTGAGGTTGCTTAAAAGTTTACTCAGGTCTGCAAATAAACTATTGACTAGAAAACAACAATTACAGTACAGTATTTAGTATGTAACATCGTTACACTGTCCCAAAATAAATAAACGTATTTAATATTTTTTATATTTCTGTTCACGTGTCATTTAAACGGGTCTAATTTGCTTCTGATTGTATTTAGAAAGTGTTCCTCCTGCCTAAAACAGTTCTGATGATGGTCGACTGTGAGACCTTCAATGGACAAGCCTATTGCTATTCACAGAACAAAGGTTGGTGATATACTCTATGTTCACTAGACAGAATGAGTCCAGGGAGGTCACTTTGCTGTAAACAAAAACTTAATCAAGCTGCAAATTTTAATGAACTCAGATTTGTTTAGAAAACTCAATTTAACCTTTAAAGAAAACTTGAATTAGTTTTTCTAATTTGTAGAGAATAGTTGTTCTCCTTTATTTGCTTCCAGCTGCAGTCCAGTTGTTGGTTTATCTTCAGCTGAACTGATGCTCAAGGAGGTTTCGATTATGAGCCAACAGTACACAGATGGCGATCTGTGTAGCAGCTTTAATGGGAGACATGCTAACCCATGTGGTCACACAGCCTGTGTACGTCACAGATATATCTCAGATTAAATGAAGTTCTGGATGTTCATCATATGTTGCTTTCCATTTGTTCTGGTATAGTTAACTTAAGATTCATCTGTTGGTTTTATTGAAGTTTTGAAAGTCCAACCTGGTCTTTGTATTCATGATCAACCTGTCAAAGTCCCTCAGAGGCAGAAACACGACCATGCTTGCTCACGCTCGCTGCTAATCTCTTAATATCAATTATAAAAACACTAATCTCAACATGCATTGTGTTGGACTATGAGAGACAACTCAAGTATGCAGAGAAGAAATTAGTAAAAAAAAAAACAACTAGAAAAAATATTGGATGAAGAAGAAATAATGCTCAAGACCACTTTAAAATATTACAAGAGTCTGGATAACTCGTAACTTTTGGAGGAAAGTTATATTTTTTTCTAAATCTACTTTTAGTTGTTGCACGCAGTATCAGTGTTATTATATTATCTGGCTGTACAGCTTGACATTTAAGATTCTGACAAGCTGAAAAAAGTCAATGTAATTGTCATTTTAGTGCATACATTTAATTTTTGTTACACTTATTTTTACGACATTTAAGCATGTTGGAGAAGTGGTTTGAGCCTGCCTTAGTGTTTGTTTTTGTCCATTTGAACCATCCAAACTGCGTCCTCGTTGTTGCAGGAGACGGTTCTTACGGCTCTCAGCTCCACATTTAGTGTCTTGCTGCAAAATAACTTGAAGATGCGTCTGATGTCTCCCTAATGCTTACTGCATGAGGCAAACGTTTGGAACTTTCAAGTTTTATGACCATATTTGTGTTTTTTCCCCACCACGCTGAAGCAAAAAAGAGCCGTCAGAGTTCACATTCAGTGGAGGAGCTGAAGCAACTTTTCCCAAAAGGCTGTGACCTGATTGGCATCACAACACCAGGCATCGTCTGTAAGTTTTTTTTTATTTTTTATTCATTTTATTTTTGCTGTCTTGATTAAATTATTTTAAGGAAAATGTAACAAATCTCAGCCTTAACATAAACATAATGGGTTGCTATATATAAAAGCAACACAAAGTATTTCATGTTCAGTGGGCATTGTATATAAATATATGAACTTTCATAAAATATGCTTTGGTATTTGTTCTAAAACTTCTGTATTTTTATACTTCAGCCCTCTAATGATACTAATAAATAGTCCTAATATGTTGTTTTTATCATACTACATTAAACAAAATGAAACTGACCTTTGAGAAACACGTAAAGATAAGTGGTTCATCCCTCAGCAGAGAGGACCCCACATGATTCCCCTCAGCTGCTGCCTGCTTGGAAAGCACCTCTGGTGGCTCACATCTCGCAGCGTCTCTGACAAATTGCCTTGTGTGCCTGGTGCCGCACTTCCCATTTCCTTTTTAAATTACAGCCCTCTAGAGAAGTGGTTCTTCGTCAGCCACGTTCTTTCTCCTTCAAGACCATGGCTTAACTTGCTCTATTTGTATTCTGTCATCTTTAATGGCTGCATTCTCCATTTATGACACATTTAGTGATATTGCCACCCGAGGTTTTTAGTAACTTGGATCTTTGACCTGGTCTAAAGGACTTTTTAAACAAAGGAAGCAGTGCTTTATTTAAAGATAAGGAATCCATCATTTTGTCTTTTACAGTAAATGTTCTTGCTTCTTTGTTGTGCGTTAGAGACTCGCACAGTAAGTTGTGCACACAGCTGTCTCTGTTGGCCAAACTTTTTAAAGCTTTCTATACAAACTAGTGTTGTGTTCAAAACCACCTAACTCGAGACCAAGTCAAGACCAGAGAGAACTGAGACAAGACCAAGACTAGTAGAGTCCAAGACCGAGGGAGAGCGAGACCAAGACCTCACATAAAATATAAAATTTTATTATAAACTATTTTTTAATAAAAGTTACATACTGCAACTTTAAGTTTGCTTTTGAATGAATATATCAGCTTTTATACATTTTCAAAGCTGCACAACAAAGAAATCAGACATTCAGTGACCTAACTTCATGTGATTCAACAATAAAATTACACAACTGTTAAACTGGAAGCAGTTTCATCACGTCAAGCCTTAAAAAACTGAAGTGGCAAAACAATCTTCATAAGTCCGAACTCAACACCAATATAACCATATAGTTGCACAGTGGTTTCAATAAAGTAATAGATATACATCTAAAAAAGTTACATAAATGGATATTAGTTACAATTATATTATTTGTGATTTAAATAGTCAAATTTTATAACTGATGATTTGGCAGACATCTTCTCCCGCATCCAGACAATCACTTTTCACTTTCTTCCAGTGTTGCCAGGTAGAGTCGAGGTTTTCCAGCCCAAAAATCTGTTAAAAACCATCACATCACACAAAAATCGGCCCAGTCAACATATTGTTACAGTATATTTACTGTTTGAACATGAACACACATCAATACAAGCCAAGGTAATTTAACAATATGTGGCAAAACACAACAGTCCAACAGAAATCTTCCCAGAGTTCCCAGCAAAATGAGAATGAAAACCACCCAATTGGCAATAAACCGCCCAATCTGGCAACACTGGTAGTGACGCGTGCAAGTGAAAGGGGGTGGGCGTGACAGCAGTAACAAAAACATGTATTTAGCAATGAGTCACATTATCGCTTGGATTTGAACCAGTACGTTTTGAATCTAATAAAAACAAAGATGTTAACAAATAAACTGGACAATATTCTGACAATTTAGTGATATTTACACAGTTGTGGTCTTGATGGTCTTGAAATAAAATCCGAGTCCTCAATGTCCGAGACCAGTTGCGGTCGAGTCCGAGACAAGACTGTTAAGATATTTTTGGACTGGTCCTATGGTTTTGATCTGCTCAGAGACGGGATTATAATGAAATTATGACCCGGTTCTGACTGGGTTAAACTGGGCCAGCAACTGTAAAGAGAGTCTCCCTGGGATTTCAGTATCAGTCAAGAAATAGTTTAATCTGCTTGCCACATCACGCAGAAAGGCTTTTGAAGCACCGTCTCATATTTCCTAACACGTCAGTCCACATAAGATCCACTGAGATCACACTTAGTCACGCCCCCTCATACACTGACAGGTTGAGCTCCCCTTCTGCGAAGGCGGAGTCTAGGACCCCATAAATGAGTAATGACACAAGACATCGGGACTCTTCTTCCGGGTCTGTGAACGGATCACCGACTGGAGAGTCTAGCGCTGTAAAATTGTAATCTTTTCCTGCCTTTTCTAATATAATTTATAAAACTTAATTGACGTTTCCTTGATTTATTGATTAGTATAGTTGCCACTTCTGAGGGAGGTTCGAGCCGGGGGTAAAGACGTGGGCTGGAGGGGGTTTCCGGATCCGGTAGCCAGAAGCCAGCTCCTGTCTTTAACAAGACCATCAAAAAATGGTCTTGAGACTGGTCTCGAGTTCTACAACTCTAATACAAACCGTCATAAACTCTAATCTGGAAAACTGTGGAAGGGTGAGAATAAATGTAATTTGCAACATTTACCAGGGTCTGAATGAATCACGAGCAGTTTTCTGTATTGTCTTAATTCTGTTGTTCATAAGCAGTTAGGCTCAGAACTCAAACCTTCAGTCCAATAAATGTAGCGGTAAGGATCGAGGCTGCTTGTGTCATTAATTCAGCCTAGTGAAGTCTCCTGGTTGACTTTTATTTTAAACTTCTTTTTTTTTTTCTGTTCTAATCAAATTGTGGGGCTTCATATATTTTTCAGAGTTCTCTGCACAGTTTCTGATCATATATCTTTAACTTGAGTTGCAGCTCCCCTCATGACCACTAGGTGGCGATTCTGAGACTGGAGCAGATGTTATTAACATTTAAGTAAAACTACAAAACTAGAACTGTTTGATTTCAGTCTGGTTTGGGTCTGCATTGAGGATATGTACTTTTCTTTTGTCTCCCCCCCCCCCCCCCCCTCGCAGAACAGTTTTTCTGGTTCCTGCCTTTAAAATTTTAAACTTGGAACACATTTTAATCTAGAAATTATTCTCAGTTCTGAACAAAGCTGTATAATATTTTATGGGAATGAAAACTGTGGCTGTTGGGGGGATTTAGGGAACGGGATATAGTATAACCTGTAGTTTCATGGAGCTTTGTGATTGGCTGTCTGCAGTAACTCCGACTGGCGCTTGGTCCAACCCACCTCAGGAGCACCAGGAGGGGGAGGCAGGCTTTGCACTCATGTTGCCCAGCATTGAGGGGGTTAATATCAAACCTTTTCACTTCTGTAAAAAGACCATCTCCATGACCGCCCTGAGAGAGGCAGGTGAGTAGAGGCTCACAAGTTATTCAGTAACTCGTGCAGAGTTCTACAAGTCTTCTATAACTTGCGGTCTCACTGTTTCCAGGCTTAGTTGACAACTCCGAGCTGCGTGTAGTGCTGATATTTGTCTATGAAGCATACAGATCTGGAGGAGCACGGTTCCTCAACCAGATTCTTGAGCCGTTGTCAAAGAGTAAGGCTCTGATTGCAGGAGGGTTGGTGGAAAGTGCCTTCTTTCCTCCCAGACCCTGGTCAGTTCACGTCTTGCATTATAATGATTACGACTATGGTTTGATGGGAAAACGCTCAGTTTTGTCGTCTCTCTCACTGCAGCTGTAACCAGGGAGCGTACGGTGCGATGGGCCTGGCCCTGAGTGGCCCTAAAGTGCAGGGAGCCTCCGTGCTTTTGGACCGAGATGTAAGCAACTCGAAGGCGGCAGAAGACACAGTCCGACGGCTGAAAGCTGCCAAAATTCCAGAGAAAAACACTCTGGGCTTCATGTTTGCCTGCGTGGGCAGAGGCCAGAACTACTACGACAACCAGAGCAACGTGGAGGCGGACGCCTTTCGCAAGGTGTTCCCCAACACTCCGCTCTTCGGCCTGTTCGGCAACGGCGAACTCGGCTGCGACCGGATCGTTAAAGACGACTACACGCTGTGCGACGACGACTCCGACAGCCTGCAGCACGAGTACACCACCGTCATGTCCCTGGTCCATTTTGGCTGACTGCACCGCAGTAACGGTGTAAACTTCAAGTTTGGGAACAACAAACGTTACGGACAGCGCGGTGCTCGGAACATTGTCTTCATTTACGCTCGCGAAGCAGGAGGAGATCGTCCCGTTCTGCTGCGGATGGAATGGAGACTGTGTGAACGCAGCTTTATATTAAAACTTCGAGTTTCACACAGTTAGAGAAAGACAAATTGTTGTAAAAGTATTAGCATTTTACTTTGAAGTTTTCTTCCAACATTTAAAGCTTATTCTTCCCTCTGCACTTTTTTTATTCGTTCAGTCAGGGTAAGCTCAGGGAGATTCGACACCGTTCCACACGTTTATCTTTCAAGCGTTCGCCTTGCAAATTAAAACTCTTGTTCCAAAGTTCAGCTGAGCACAGGAGAGTTTAGTCAGAACTTTTTACTTCCCGGTTACTGCAGCCTAACAGAAAAACCTCGAACCTGAGAGAAAGGTATTGGCTGCTGAGTGACATAAACGTTTAACTTTACCCGACTTAAATCTCGGCCCCTCTAAAGTTTCCTACATCAAGATTTGGCAAACTTGTTCGTTCAGTTTGACTATATGCCTAGAGGAAAGAATATCTGTATTTTGGAGTTATTCCCGGCTAAATAGTGAGTATTTTTTATTGATAAGTCATGATTGTTTAAATCTTTTCGATCATTAGATGCAGGATTTCTAAAAGCTGTGAATTTTACATGTGCTAATATATAAAAGCATGCTAGCCTCTTAAAATCTAAAGCACTCCCTGCATTTTTTTTTTCAGACTTAAGTTAACAAAAATGACATAATGGTGCAATTTCTCCATATAAACATTATAACTTGGAGTCGCTGTAAGGTTACTGATGTGATGTGTTAAACATTGCTGATGTCAGTTAAGCTTTTCTGTACATTTGCAGCACATTGTTGGAAAAAAAGCAAAATTAAAGTTCCATAAAGTACTTTTCTTGAAAGTAGAGGACTCTGAGAATTTCATTTTTTTTTACTTGTATTGACTGTAATATAACAAAACAGATTTCAGTATAGTTTTTTAATAGATTTGAAAATGTGCAATAGGGTAAGCAAAAGGTTGTTGCACTTTTTTTTTTTTAAACCTGTGCCAAACCATATTGATTCTGCTCCAGTTTTCTCAATAAATTAGTCATGTGATTTTTAACAGTATTGAAGGTGCCAGTGCGTACGCAGCACTAAAGCACCTTTAATAGTCTGCCCGTTATTCTGTTTATTTGACACTATTTTGGTTAACGTCACCTCCAGCAGCTTTGGAAAAACGGAGGTAAAATGGTTCAAAGTGTGTGGCTCAATAGGGAATAGTGTGCCATGACTTTTGTTAGCAGTACATCAAACAAAGTAGACGAAATGTTCAAAAATACATAATAGCTATAAAATATTCAACGAGATTTTGGTAAAATGAGTGTGAAAACAACTCTTCATAACTCATTTGTGGTAGAAACATCTGGCCACAAAACTGGATGTTGATACCTGAACTATCCATCCATTTGCTTTGGCCTCTTCTTCCTTTTCAGTCCCATCATGCTCTACCAACTGCATATAGAACTAATATAGAATTTTTGTGTGATGTCTAAAACTGTTGCCAACTCTTCTTACTTCAACAAACTTCGCACTTAAAACAGTTTATATGTCTCAATCTAGATTTTGGTTTCTTTACTTTCACTCCGTTTGTTGCTCGCTGCTTAAGGTTTTCTTTCAAATGCCCCCAGAGAGCTTGGTGCACCCATGTCCGCTCAGAATAAAAGAAAAATCTAATAAAGTCTTTTGACTTGTCACATTCCTTCATAAAACTCTTGCAGACATGTGACGAGTCGCCTCATGCACTGAAAGAAGAAAACTAGTTGAGACTCTTGGGCCACTAGTGCAGCAAAGAAGCTGCTCATTTTTGACTTCTTCTTGAGCTAATTGGACATAAGTGTCACTAATCGGCAAAAAAAAGTTACAATAGAAGAGTGTGGAGCTAATTCGACCAAATTTGCTACATAGTTACAAAGCAGAGGGCGAAAGATCACTGATGGCAATATAATCAAATAAATACACAAAGAGCTTCCCATATATGCTCCATTTGAAGCTACTGATTACAGTCATGAAAACTGGTTAAGCTGCACAATAACTCAAATTGGTGGTTTGATTAAAATTTTGTAAGCAGAATTTGTGCCCCCCCCCCCCCCCCCCCGGCCTTTTGTTTTCCAAAAACTAACATCTGTGGAAGAGCTGTAGAAGAACAAGGCTGTCTGCACATATGTATGTTCAGTGAGTAAAACGTGAAAGATTACAAATGACTGATTTAGAAAAAAAAAAAAAAACACACACCAGGCTTTATTCCTGATATATTTAGATTCATATTTCCATAAAGTCTTGTGATATTTGTTTACCTGCGCAGACCCAGCCTTGTGTCAGCCAGTCACGTGACTCGTGTGTTTACACTGAGTGCATACCAGCATTTCAGAATTGCAAATCAACCCATCTGGAGAACTACTGGACTAAACTGCTTCCGATTTCAGAATAACTTTTTTTCATGTTTGCGGTGAGAACACCCCCATC